TATGTATGTATGTATGTATGTATGTATGTATGTATGTATGTCAGGAGTTTATTTATATATTTGATTTATATATACTTTATGTATTTATTTGATTTATATAGGCGTCCATCTCACATATGTGACTCAGTGGATTACAATAAAATAAATAAAAACAAATAAAATACATAATATAAAATAAAAACACATGGCAGCTGAGCTTCATAAAATAACCAACAGCAAAGCCAAGAGAGGGGCTGTATCACACTTCTGGGGCCCTAGGCCCAGGCACAAAACCATGTTTTTAGGGTTTTGTGAAAGGCCAGCAGGGTCAGGACTAACCTAATCTCAGGTGGAATGACATTCCACATGGTGGGCGCCATGGCAGAAAAGGCTGTCTTCCTGGGCCCCACAGCCGACACTCCTTAGCTAACAGTACCCAGAGCATGCCTCTTCCGCTGAACTGGGTGCGACAGAAAGAAAAGAATGGGGAGAGACATTCCCGTAAGTAGCCCAGCCCCAAGCCATGAAGGGCTTTAAAGGTAACTACCAGCACCTTGAATTGCACCTGGAAACACACTGGAAGCCAATGCAGCTCATAGAGCAATGGTGTCCCATGCGCTGAAAAACCGACACCAATAACTGCTTGTGGCACCTCATTCTGCCTCAGCTGAAAGTTCTGAATGCTCTTTAAGGGCAGCCCCATGTAGAGCAAGTTGCCGTAGTCCAATCTGGAGGCCACAAGGGCAAGAATGACTATGAGCAGCCCCCCCCCCCCCGGGTCTTTGGTCCATCATTATTAAAGGTTCAGTGGTCTTCTCACTAACACCACAACTGGAATTTTGTTCTTGAGGAGACTTGACAACCTTCTTGTCTGCTTTTCAGATGGCATTTTATGTATTTATGGCTGTAAGATATCCGACAGTTTGAACACTTTTCCCTTGGTTTAATTGCTTTTTTTTAAAAAATTAAAAACATTGTTTAGATTGTATGTATTTCCAAATGTAACTCAGTGGATTTATGCACATCTTACTATTCTGTTTATGTTCATAGGTTCATTTCAACAAAGCAAAATTTATCCCAGCAGTCAGTTTAACTGAGCCCGATAGATTCTTCATATTCTCTTTTCAGCATTACTTTCTAAAATTGAAGTTTGAAGATGAGCTCCCCATCCTTGTCAAATCAGAACAGTGCTCTTTATATACATGATCAAAAAGACTCCACATAAGCTATTGCCCTTGAAGAAACTGAAATCAGAAACATCAATTCATCTATCACATAGAAGGCAAATGGTATTTCAATACTCCAGTTGTACATGACCTACACGTTACAAATTATTATGAATATGAATGGGAACATAAGAGATATTATGATTTCAAAGCAAGAAAATTATCCTTATGACTCCAGATTTAATCCAGTGATGTGATTAAAAAAGAAGTGTGCATGCATCAAAGATATTATGGCACTGCTCGTATACTTCAATCTACTGACACTCTAGCAACAAGACACCCTATTCTTATGCAGCATACCCAATGAACATGCCAGGTGGTAATAAAAAGAACAGGCTCAAGGAGCAATTTGAGACTAGGACACTGGGCATGTTTTCAGATTTGAAATGGCAGGTATGCCTTGATAGGTCAGGAGAATAAAGTGAGCAATATTTAAAAGCACATGCAAAGGGAACATGGACTTAACTCCTGAAACTTTATTGGAATAGTTATTATACAGATTAGTGATCATCCCAGCACAGGCAATAAAGTATTGTTTTTACAAATATAGCTCCTCCTAGCATTTTTAGTCCTAGTCCTCTTTGGTTAAATACTACACAATATTTATTTAATACGTTTCTATCCTGCTGGATTCCAAGAACCCTTCGCAGTTTACATGCTATATAATATAGAAAAATATGAAAACATTCATGGTATGATTGAAAATACTAACAATGTAACAGTCATAAACTCCATCCAACAGACAATATAACCAAAGTCAAATATGAAGAAAAGATGACACAGTGCATGAACTCAGTTACTCTCTTAAATAGTTTTAATTTTTAAGATCTTCATGAAAACCAACAAGAGGGCTAGCTTGATCTCCACCAGGAGACTACTTTAGAGACTGATGCCACCAGAGAAGCAGTCTTCTGAGTCTGGCTTCCTTCACCTCTTGGAAGCGTGGGACAAGAAGGAGTTTCTCCCTAGATGATCTAGTAGATTGGGCTGATTTGGGTTAGAGTAGGCAGTCCTGTAAATACCTAGGTGCCAAGTTATAATGGGCTTTATAGATCAAAACCAGCACTTTAAAATGTATGATGAAACCGACTGGCAAACAGTGCAAGGCCTGCAGACTCAGCCTTCATGTGCTCCCAGCATTGGGTGCTGGTGAGCGCATGTTGTGTTCTCAGTCAACTGCAGTTTCTGAGGAGTCTGCAAAGAAAAGCCCCCATGTACAGCGCTTCCCTTTTTTTTAATGCCTTCAGGTCAGCCTTGGCTCCTGGCAACTGCTTGGATAAATCCCTGCAGTTTTCTTGGCAAGGCTTTTCAGAAGTGGTTTGCCATTGCTTCCTTCCTAGGGCTGAGATTGGCCCAATGTCACCCAGCTGGCTTCATGTCTAAGGCAGAACTAGAACTCATGGGCTCCCAGTTTTGTAATGAGGGTGTCAAGCAATATGAATTACAGTACGTAGAAACATAATCTAATGCTTCCCATGATCACTTATACAATGCAATACTCTTTTGAGGGCTATGCAAAAATAAATAATAAAGTGTGTATGTTGAATTCTTCAGCACAGAACTCAAAATTCAGCACTCAAAGTGATGCTTGCATGTCACAATTCAATTCTGTAACCAATCTGAAAGAAGAAATAAAGAACAGGGCAGAGTCTGGTATCAGTGTAATAAAGTAGAACACAATATCTGATAGATGCCACTGTGCCGAAATTAAGCTTTCTCAATGTAAAGCCTTTCAAATACTGCATGCTGAATTCCCATTACTCTCCCATCAGCGGTGGTTGCTCTAATCCAAAGCCATCTGAAAGGCTCCAGGTCGGAGAAACCTGATCTAAACCCTCGCTGTCGAAAAATATTGTCCCATTTCGACCAAAAACATGGGTATAGATTTAAGTCATCACCAGGAGTTGCTTCAGCACCCACGCCAAACTCACGAGCACCCGCGCTTCAACCAGCGAGCGCAGCCAAGCCGAAACGCCGCTCGCCTGTACCCGCAGCTCAGGGTACCCAAAATGCAACGCGTTATCGTAGAGCGTTGCATTTCGGACAATCAAAGATGGCGGGCGGCACGGGCTGAATAGAGCCGGGCGGCGGCTCGGCTTGAATTTGGAAGCGCCGCAGCCTTTTCTCTCTCCCCGGAAAGTTTTCGGTGAGGAAGCCGGCGGAGAGGGATAAGAGGACAGGCGGTCAGGTCCCACCGGCACTGGGGTTCCCTTGGTTCCACCCTGCCCGCTCCTCTCCCCGTCCACTGTACTCGAGGGGTAGCTTTAAAAAGCCGATCTTTTAAAAGGAAGGGGAAAAGGCGTTATACCGGGTGCTGCTTTAGCTGTGTTGGTAGACAGGCAAAGATCCAGGGGCGCGGCAGACTTAGGCCGGCCGTAATTAGAACCTGCGCTACGTTCATATTCCATTAATAAAAGGTGGGCGAGGTCCTCAAGGGGAGCTGGCGCCCTGGTTTTCTTCTAGGCAGCGATGGCTGTGGAGATCTGGGGGCAGTGTTGGATTTTGACAAGTAAAGCCTTGCTCACAAATGGACTTGACGCTTGGATCCTAGTGGTATATGTTTCTTACCATCGCTGTGAGATGTTTTAAGCTCATTGGAGAAAGAACTAAATAGAATTTTAGCAGTCCGAAGAAGAGGATCTAGTCTTAGTTGCAATAACAGACTAACATGGCATTTTCTCTGACTATTGCAAAGCATCGTATGCTTAAAACACTTTCCAAATTCCTACTAATGTGGGTTGCTTTGCTGAATGTGTACCGCTATAAAATCAGACAGATGCAAAACAACTTAGGTGCTTAATCTTTTGCATGAACACTTGTGTCCTCTGGGTCCATTTTTTTTTTTTTTTGAAGTCCTAAAATAGCTGCAGCCAATTGAAAGCTTAGTGTGCTGACTCTCAAGGCTCTCTGGGAGAAGAGCTGCTGAAATGAAACCCTTAAAGGAGCCCACAGCTTTCTGTCAGCTGAGAGCTGCACGTGGGCTTTGAGACCTTACTTCGCAGAGTAGAAGCCAGGACAAAAATGAAATTTTCCTTATGAAATCATTTGCACAGATAAATAACTACAGTATTATTTTCCTGTAAACTATTAGATTCTTGTTTTTAATGGATTGGCTATTTTAGATACTTTTGGATGTTGCTTTTCTGTGGATGACTTTTGGATATTTTTCTGTGGATGTACCCAGCTTATTTGTATCATTATACATTTTCAGGTCTATTTTAAAATCATACTGAGTTGAAAGGAAATGTTACTAACGGGTGTAGTTAGCAAAAAGAAACTTTCTGCTTAAAGTTTATTTTAAAGAGATTGTTGCATTAGTTTTGGCTGTTACTGATTTTTTAAAACTTAAGCCAGAATTTTCAGTGTTCATATTCACTTGGAATTTTGAAAGTTTGACTACATCTTGAGAGCATCAGTTGGGGAAGTCTGGATTAATTTTATCCCACCTCCTTTTTTTTTTTTTTAATTTGTGCTGGGGCCTGGAAGCAACCTCCTTCAGGTGTAGTCTTGCACTGCTGGAGCAATTATGTAAATACTGTACATGACTCTCACCAATAAGGTGTTGATTAGATGCAAGAAAAATTTCACAAGCTGTCTTTCTCTCTTTCTCCTTGAAGAGCAGGTGGTAGCTGTGGCCAAGAGGGTCTTTACTCTTTGGCTTCATCTGGTGTGCCAGTTGTGCTCCATCCTAGATCAAGTGGCTCTCCAGATAGTCACTCATGCCCCTGTTACCTCCTAGCTTGACTATTGTAATGTGGTCTACATGGGCCTTGTCACCTCATGGCCCGACTATTGCAATGTGCTCTACATGGAGCTATCTTTGAATATCACTCAGAAACTTCAGCTGGTCCAGAATGCAATGGTATCTAAGTGCCAAGGACCTTCCTTGGCATGACCCCGTGACACCCTGCTTTATGAGTTGTACTGGTAGGCAGTATGCTTCTGGGTGCAATTCATGGTACTGGTTTATCACCTATAAAGCACTACATGGCATAGAGCCTGGTAATTTGAAGAACTGCCTATCTTCTGCAGTTTCTGCCCAGACAGTAAGAACCAATAGAGTGGGTGTGCTCCAGGTCCTCTCATTCTCTGTCACTGTACCTTCTCTCTGGAATAAGGTTACTCGTGAGATCTGGAAAACTCCCACCCTGATGGCATTCAGGGAGGCCTCAAAGACCTGGTGGGCCTTGGGGTATGGTAGATGGAACCCCTTTTGTTAGAGATGATTGATATTTTTGTTTTTGTGTTGATGTGGTATTATTTCTCTTATTGTAAGTTTTATTTATGCTATTGTATTTGTATTCTGTTTTATATTATGAAAGTCGCTCAGAGTCACTCTGGAGTCAAGCTGTGCCAAAATCAGATCAATAAATAATCCTCAGCTTTGGCTAGTTATCCTTATGGGAAGGAACTATAGTACAGGTTTAGGGTTGTAGACCAGTATTTTTCATACAGAAGATCCCAGACTTAATTCCTGGGTGATGGTTGTACCCATTGGGAATTTACATAAACAGATTAGGTAAAACTGTTTGAGATGTTTTGAAATCGTAAATTTTCTGTTGCATTTATCCCAGCTTTCTTGCCTTGTATGTATATTGTTTCTGCATTAGACTTAAATGCACTGAAGCAGAAGCATGCCTTCACTTTTAAATATGTACTTTCAGTGTCAGATGACTATGTTTCAAGTGTATGAAGCCCTTATATATGAGGAACTGTTCACTTATTAGGATTCTTTTGTGGACAAACACTCTCAGTTTGGAAACAATGAACATCAGACAGGCAGCACTATAATAGAGATAAAAACATGAACCTATTGTGAACGGCTTTTCTTATCATTATTCAATAAATTACTTTAGTAATGTCCAGTCCAGCAGAACAAGCACTACTTGTGGAGTGGGTTTCCTAATGCGTTGTTGTGTGCTCTTTGTATTTGTTCCAGTGGGTTGGAGAATCTTCTAGAGCAGATTTTGGGAAGTGGGGGTGGAACAGAAGGAATTTGAGAATGCCCACTGCACGAGCACAAATCCACTTGCACAATATTTGATATAACCCTTAGCTTCCTGTAAATATCTTAAAAGAAATGAGAAATATGTTGAAATAGAGGCAATAGTTCTCATCTATGAAGAAATCTGGCTACTTTGTTTTTCTTTTTTAATACTACTATTATTTGAAGGGTCTTTATTTTTCTTCAGAAGTGTATCTTTCTTGCAGTCAGAATCACTCAGAGGGAGAATGGAGATGAATCTTTTATTTATTTATTTATTTAATTTATTTATTAAATTTGTTCCCGCCCATCTCCCCCCAATGGGGAACTCTGGGT